AAAGACAAGGAAATTACTGGCATCAAAACTGATAAAGTAGAAGTAAAACTCTATTTATATAAGATACGATCCTAAATGGAGTCCTGGTGCACAATAAGCACTGGACTACAAGGTCGACCTGAACTGCAAGGTCAGCTGTTCAAACCCCCAGCCACTCTTTGGAAACCCTGTACAGGGTCACTGTGAGTCAGAACCGACTCAACAGCACTTAACAACAACAATGATCCTGTACATAGAAAACTCCACAAAGATTCACCAAGGTAACTACTGGAACTAAAGGTAAGATTCAGCAAAGTGGTAGGTTACAAGAGCAACAAACAAAAATCAGTCAGAGTCCTTTACACTAACAAAGAGTTCTGAGAAGGAAATCAGGTAAACAATACCATTTGTAATAGCCACCCAAAAGATGAAATACTTAGAATAAATCTAAGCAAAAGACCTACCCAAAGCAAACTACAAAACACAACTACAAGAAACCAAAAGAAGTCTATATAAATGGAAAAATATATCATGCAAAAAGATGAAAACTTCTTAAGACATTACCAAACACCTGGAGGCAGTGAGTCGCTGGGCCTGGGGACCTCAGGAACATAGTCTGACACCAGGGTCAACTGGCATAACAGAGACCACAAAGACAATGTTCTACATCCTATTTTTGTGAGTAGCAGCTGAGATCTTATAAGCTCATAAGTGGCCATCTAAGGTACAACTATTGTGCAGAAGAAACAGTGCTGAAATTGAAGATGTTTGGAATCAATATCCTTCTTAGATAAGTGGATGGCTTACTTTCATAGTCGATCATCTGGATCCAGCTTTCTAAGTTCTAGGTCATTCTCCTGAGAGTTTTAATGGTAATGCTGCACTCTCATCTAATTTGCAGTATTGCTTCTGACAAGTGTGACTTCACTCAGTCTTTCCTTAGAATGTGATCTGTTTTCATTCTCTGGCAGCCTCTAAGATCTTTTCTTTATGAGCTTGACACTGGATGGCCCTTCACAGTCTGAAAATAATACATTTACCTTTTCTGGTGAAAGAACTTCCAGTTTTCTGCTGAGATGCTATTGCTCATTATCGTGGTGTCGGCTCCAATGCATGGCTATCGTATGTGTAACAGAACAAAATGCTGCCCAGTCTTGAGTCAACCTCATGATCATTTGTTCTGTTTTGAGCCTGTGGCTGCGCATTGGGAGTGTCCTCTAACCTCGGGAGCTCATCTTCCAGCACTCGATCTGGCCCTGCTCTGATGTAACAGATTGGGTTTTCCCTGGCTAATTTTTAAAAGTAGATTGACGCGTCCTTCTTCCTTGTCTGTCTTAGTCTGGAAGCTCAGCTGAACCGTGTCCACCATGGCTGACCCTACTGGCATAACTTCCAGGATACCACAGTCAGACAAAGTGACAGGCAAGTCTGCAAGATGGCGCCTTCTCACCCTTCAGGCCTCAGCTGACAAGACGCTTCCTCAGAGAGGCCTTCCCTAAACACCTGACCACATCTCCCACATTCTCTCTCCCTGCTCCCTCTGCACCAACATAGTTTTTGTTTGTTTTTACTGTTACTCCAATTTATTATTGAAATTTTCTCCTCTATTAAGTTTTGAATTTCCCTAGGAGAAAAACAACAGTGTTAGTACTGTGTGCTTAATGCCTAACAGGAGCTTGACATGTTGCTAAATATTGAGTAAATACACCTATTATCAATATTTGAAGGAGCTCTGGTAGCTTGGTGGTTACAAGTAGGGCTGCTAACCTCCAAGTCAGCAGTTCAAAACTACCAGTCGTTTCGCAGGAGCAAGATGAGGCTTTCTGCTCCCATAAAGATTTACAGCCTTGGAAACCCTACAAAGGGCCGCTATGAGTCAGAACCAACTCCACGGCACAAAACCACCATCAACCACCAATATCTGAGTACTGTATGTATAAAACTACTCGGTCACAACAGAAATTTAATCTTCTTATGAAACACAGGGGTTTTCAGAAGCTTGGAATTTCTACTTAGAAATGAAAAGCTAAAAATTCATTCCAAGTCTAACATTGTGGACAAATAAAGTTAAAGGAACTTTCAGAGACTAACAGCAAAAGAGAAGTTCATATTTACCGATGCCTTTGTGAGGGTCAGGGGGACAGGAAACAAACTTCAGGACTTCGGCTCGTTTCTCTCTCAGACCCCAGCGATAGAGGATTTCTCCATAGCATTTCTTAAAGTCATCAAATTGCTGCATATTGGCAGGGTCCAAAAGCCTGGATAGAGTTTAAAAATTCCTATTAGTTCCTTTATGAGAAAAAACAACAACAACTCAAAACCAAACCTACTGCCAATCAGTAGATTTCAACTCACAGTGACCTACAAGACAGAGCTGAACTGTCCCCCTTAGGGTTTCCAAGACTATAAATCTTATGGGAGCAGACAGCCTTATCTTTCTCCCACAGAGCGGCCGGTGGACTTGAACTGCTGACCTTACAGTTAACAGCCCAACACTTAACCTAAACTGTGCCGCCAGAGCTCCTTAAGTCAGTACCAGGTGACATTTAACATAACTGTAATTAAACTTTGTATTGTGAATTGAGTGAAGGTTTATAGAGTAGATCAGTTTTACATTCACCAAATCACACATCTTGCTTTATTACAATGACCGTGATCCTCAGCTAACATCAGTTCTTGCACTTCCTCTGTGGTTCTTGCTTCCATTCTGCTCTCCTCTTCCCAACCCTTCTGAACTTTGTCCTTGTAGACGCTGCTCATTTCATCAACAGTTGACCATTCCACCGTGAGCATACCTTGCTATGTTGTTGTCCCTACTATATTTAATATAACTTTTGTTAAAGCAGGTAGAAGTTTGGAGACTATAAGAGTTATGAAATGGCAGCCCTCGAATGGGAAGGTGGTCACCGTTTGTTTTTCTCATGCAGGTCCCGCTCTCGCTCACGAGGGTCATTGTAGGTCAGACTCCCAAAGCGGATTTCTTCTGGGGAAGACTCCCCCCAGGGTGAAGATAAATGTTCTGCCTCTCTTCCTGCTGAAGAAAACACAATAGGAACGGAAGACAGAAATCAGAGGAAGCATATGAAATGTCTGAGAATGCTTTCCTAATGCAGTAGGTCCAATTTATTCTGGCAGAAAAATCAACTAAACTGAAAACCCCACAAAACACCACATAAGAGAACATTTCCTAGCCTCATCTTTTTACCTAGCCTCATCTTTTTGTCTATATATTTATTAACGTAAACTTAAAATTAAA